TTTCTTTCTTCTTCTCTTTTTTCATCTTCTTCTTTTTTCATCTATTTTTTCATCTTCTTTTTTCTTCTTCTTTCTTCTTTTCGTTTTTATTTGGTTGGTATTCACCCCCTTGGGGATGTTTTATTTTTTGAATAGGGATATTACCCTCGTTCCTTGAGATGCATGGGATGTGCGTCCCCTTGGGGATGTTCTATTTTTTGAGTAGGGAGATTATCCTCGTTCCTTGAGATCGGATGTGCGCCCCCTTGGGGATATTCTATTTTTTGAGTAGGGAGATTATCCTCGTTCTTTGAGATGGGATGTGCACCCCCTTGGGGATGTTCTATTTTTTGAGTAGGGAGATTATCCTCGTTCTTTGAGATCGGATGTGCGCCCCCTTGGGGATGTTCTATTTTTTGAGTAGGGAGATTATCCTCGTTCCTTGAGATGTGATGTGAACCCACTTGGGGTTTATAGGTAAGGGTGATGCCCAACCTTAGGTTGGGGATAACTGCCCACTGTAGGATGAGGCGCTCGAGACCTATGGTCTGAGGTTGATGCGCACGGTTGTGCCATTGAGTAGGGACGTGAAACACTTGAAAGGATGTGAAACCCCTTGGGGTTGAAAGGTCAGTGGATGTACCACCCTTGAGAGGAGATGCCCAACTTTAGGATGGGATAGCCCCCCATTTAGGATGAGGCGATCACGAACCACTGGGGTGAGATGCCCCACCTTGGCGATATATGGTGCCACTGATTCAGTGGCAGCACGAGTTGAATCTTCCGTGATCATACGCTGAAGGTCTTCTTCGGTTATCTGAACCGTTCAAGAAGTAAGTAGAAATTGATCATGTTGAGGACCCAGTGGGGCCTCACGAGGATGAGCGTTGGCTCCTGCTATGACGAATGAAATGTTTAGGGGGCGATGTGACCCCCAGGGAGTCGATAACCCTTGGCGAACGAAATATTTTGGGAGCAGATGTAAGCCCCCAGGGAGTCGATAACCCTTGGCGAACGAAATATTTTGGGGGCGATGTAAGCCCCAGGGAGTCGATAACCCTTGGCGAACGAAATATTTTGGGGGCGATGTAAGCCCCCAGGGAGTCGATAACCCTTGGCGAGCGAAATATTTTGGGGGTATATGTAAGCCCCCAGGGAGTCGACGGCGGTGGTGCCATAGATGGCTCCACATGTGGAGCAGGTGCTGATACCGCGTTGGGAGCATTTGCTCCCATCGTGGCGATATATTGGGTCACGGCCTCTATGGCAACGCGAGTTGAAGTTTCTGCTATCATGCGTTGAAGCGCATCCTCGGTTATTTGAACCATTCGAGGAGCAGGGAGCGGTGGATCGGCGAGTGGTTGGTCCCCAAGGGGGATCACCTGAACCTCGCGAGGCGGATCCATGGGATGTGGAGGAGGTGGCAAGCCAGAGCCTCCACGAGGTGGGAGGTCGTTTGCTGTGTCCTTTTCTCTCCGAGCAGACGCCTCAGGAGGATCTTGTTGGCTACGTGATCTGGTTTGCATCGTTCCCACAGACGGCGCCAAAATGATGATGCTAAAATATTTAGATCACCTGGGTAGTGTAGAAAATGAACTGGGAGAGCAAAGCAGATCAGTAGCTTGACAACTTGATGATCCTGAGGTATCTGCGATCATAGAACACACATGAACTAAGCCGGGGGTTGATCCGGCGGAAACCCCTCCGACGCTCAAGTCAGACATGCTGATAGTAGAAATAGTCCAGAGAATACGTATTGTAGTATTGCTCAGTTAATAGGACGTACATTAATAAAATGAGTAAAACCTCTATTTATATGTCGTTTATTGGGTTGGGTTTGCTTTGTTGGGCCCAAGCCTTACTTGAAGGTGTTTGGGCCTCGGTGATATTGGTCTTCAATATTGGGCTCGTGGCCCAGTAGGTAAATAACTTGTAGGCCCATTGGGTTGGCCCAATTAGGCATATCATATATATATATATATATATATATATATATATATATATATATATATATATATAACATGTCCCATGAAGAAACTTATCATATAAAATATGGATTTCTCATTTTCGTTAAACATTGTAGTAGACACGGCCATGGGCTGGTTTTGGGCCCGGAACCGGCCCGAACCGGCCCGTTTACGACCCGGTCCAACCTGTTGACCGGTGAACCGGCTCGGAATTCGTGAACCGGCCCGTCGTCCCGGGACGGCTCCGGTTCTATGAAATGGTGTTGGGTGCTAAATACCTAACACGCAAGTGCACGTATCGCAAACAAGTAGTAAAAGTGGACTCGTGAAAGTCGGATGTCGATCCCACAGGGAATACTCAAATTTTCTAATCCTAAGTACCAAATTCTAACAATTATGATTTTTATCCAGCCTACGCAAAGTTGTCAAATTTAATCAACTAAATAATTAAACTAATTATGAAAGCAAATTAACACGAGAAAATATCAATAAAAACGGACCTAGGATTTTATCTTCCCCCTATGCAAGAATTGCTCACCCATAACCCCTCAATTATGAAATATATGATTCATGATTATTAACCCGAGACACTAATTTAGTCATAACCCGCTGTCGCGTGTATTATGAGTCTATTATTCATAAACGGTTCACTATATGTCTATGCAAACAAATGATGAATAAAGCATTAACTAACAAGTCTCGTAAATGGCTACCTAAGGTGATATCTGTATGTCTACGACACCACATGCAATTGACACACTTATCCGGTGAAAACTACTCGAAGGTTCTTATACTTACCGTCTAATTATCAAAATGGCTCTGTCGAGTCAATCCCAATAATCACAGATAAAGCACATAAATTGATCAAGTTCATGCAATAACAATCATAACAAGTAGAAGAAATAATCATAAAATCATAATTGCATAATCTCACGAAAACGGGTTCACCATCCCCACATAGGGTTCCAACAAAATCCTAGATTAGAAACTTAGCTACTCATGTTCTCTACGAAAAACATCATAAAAACATAAAAAGAAATGGATTAAGAAAAGATAGATAAAGGAAGAATTGTGATGAAGATTTGTCACTTCTCCGTCTTCGATTCTTCGTTCTCTCGCTCCTCTCGCTCCAAGGTTGTGTCAAAAGCCCCTCTAATTCGTGCTTGGTTTGGGCTTAAATAGATGTCCCAACTTGGTAGATGATTTTAGGTTTCCTTGTGTGATTAAAAGTCCAAAATTGTCTCCAGCGTGTGTTGGCACGGCCGCGCGAAAATCAGTGCAATTCTCACACGGCCGCGCGAGAATCGCCGAAACCTTCTGCCCAATTTCTGCATTTGGCACGGCCGTCCTATTTTTAGGTGTAAATTTGGGACGGCCGTCCCGTGCCAATTTTTTCAGATTTTTGATTATTTCACTTTTGGCCCAAAATTTCTCCAAAATTGCAGTTTTGACCCCAAACTTTTCCAATTCTTCAATTTATACCTAAAATACAATAAATCAACTTTTTAAGCACCAATTATCGTTAAATCACACCAAAAGCTCAAATAAAAAGGTACGATAAAGTATAAAAATATATACTTAACAAATGGTGAACCGTGAACCGCCGGGCCGGCCCGGCGGTTTACCCTGATTTAAAAAAAATATAAAAAATATAAAAAATTCAAAAAAAAAAAGCAAATAACGGCTAGTGAACGGCCGTTATTTGTTTTTTTTTTAAATTCCCCCCCCCCCCCCCCCTAATTTTTCCTATAAATACCCTTACTCCCCAATTTTTCCTATAATTTACTTATTCATCAAATATTTCAAAAATAAAATCAAAAAATAAAATCAAATTTTTCGGGCCGACTCGTATAGGCCCAGAACCGGCCCGAACCGGCGGGCCTGCCCGGCCCGCCGAACCGTACATATTGCGGGCCGGTTCCGGTTCCGGAAAAAGTGAATTGTGAACTAGTATGAACCGGTCCGGAACCGGCCCGAACCGGCCCGTGGTCGTGTCTACATTGTAGGATAATAGATGAACACATGCAACATTAAGAACAAGTTCTAATTATGGCTACCCAAGGATATGATCAATAAAAGGTATATATAGGATAATCCTATATTCATGCCAAAAACAGCAAACATATGAAATTGATTCGAGAGTTCTTTTACCAACCGTCTACCTATTAAACGATCTTTCGATGCATGCAATTCTAATAATCACAGATAACAATCATCGGTTAGCTACTTTTATGCTCCTCAAACAAATCAAGTACTAGAATAAACAATTTATCAAACTTGCATAAATAAGAAATTTAATACAACAAATCCCACATCTAGTTCCAATGTTACTCATGTTGTCCAAAGAACAAGTTTTCGTCCAGTTTTCTCCAATTTTCACGTCGTTTCGTTCCATTTGTCGTCTTTCATGATCTCGAAACTCCTGGCTGAATTTATAGTATTAATTCAAACAAAAGTCCAATCGAAAGTACGTGTAATTTATACACCTAACAACCCACTTAGATGTGTCCGTTGATGACATCTGAAGCGTTTCGCCCGAAAACTGCTCGGATATCGATGAACACGTACACTTCGGATCCTTTTTTTTTTTTGGAAACAAAAACGAAAAAGAAAATTTGAGTCTTTTAATAAAAATTTAACCCAATATATCAAAGATCGGCAACCGGATGGACATTTTTATTCGATATGGATTGGTATTTGAGGCGGGCTGTAGTAATTAAATAAACCCACTCCTTTTAAAATAGGCCCAATCATTTTGCAGTACGAATCTCCCTCTTCTACCATACAATCAGCATATGCAACCAGGTCCATGTATTTGATTTCCCTTTAGATTTACATCATATATATTACAATATTTATAATGTGCAATAATTATCTCTCTCTCAAATTTAGCTAACTTAAATTCAATTAAAGTGAAATAATAAAATAATAGATGACAAGGATATGGATTCTTTGGACCCCAGAATATAACTCCTAAATAAAGAAGAATCTTCTTGTCAAAATTCTTTCTAGCCCATTACATTTTGTGCAACTATAAATAGTTTCTATAGATTGTGATCTAAATGTACAACTTATAAGGTGAGAGCAAAAGATATTTTCAAGATATTTATTTCTTTCTCTCTCTCTATATATATAATTAATATATATATATCTTTCTTTTATATATACACTATGCCAAGAGACAGAAACCCACTAGTCGTTGGAGGTGTGATAGGGGATGTATTGGATCAATTCGCAGCGTCCATAACGCTTAGAATTGTTTATAATAACAGAGAAGTGAATAACGGTGGCGATTTCAGGCCGTCACACATTGTCAATCAGCCTAGGGTTGATATCGGAGGGGACGATTTCCGTACCTTCTATACTTTGGTAATTCTTTATTTATTTTTTCTCTCGTTTAAGTTACATATATATACGGGACGTATATGCATGGCTATTTTTCGTACCTTGTAGGTTATGGTGGATCCCGATGCCCCGAGTCCTAGTGATCCTAATCTTAGAGAATATCTGCACTGGTGAGATGATTTAATGCTACTATTCGTATACATAGAATAATATATACATTCGAATTATTGTACGCAAACTACAAATACTATACGTATACAATACAAGATTTAATTCAAGAAATACGAGGATTTATGTATATTATTTTACATATTATATATATGTGGATTGCATGTATATAAATATTATTCTTCATTTTCAATTGTATTAACTAATTTTTTCAATTGATTTTTTTTTTAATGTAGGATGGTTACGGATATTCCTGGATCCACTGGGACAAACTTTGGTTAGTGTTCTTTTATTTTGTAATTTATTAAATTTCATATCTTACAAAATGGTCTTCATAATTCGTACAATCAAATAAATAAATAAATGATATGTGTACTGAAGGGCAAGAGATCGTGTGCTACGAGAGTCCACGGCCTTCGATGGGGATTCACCGTATGATCTTCATCTTGTTCCGCCAGTTAGGGCGGGAGACGGTGTACGCCCCGGAGTGGCGCCAGAATTTCAACACCAGGGACTTTGCAGAGACCTACAATCTTGGATCCCCTGTGGCGGCGGTCTACTTTAACTGCCAGAGGGAGAGCGGCACCGGTGGGAGAAGACAAGTGCAATAATGAACTTCAAATATTACTAAGTTGTTATTATTATTATTATTATTATTATTATTATTATTATTATTATTATTATTATTATTATTATTATTATTATTATTATTATTATTATTATTATTATTATTATTATTATTATTATTATTATTATTATTATTATTAAAAAATAAAGTTGATTATATTATGCAATATGCATGTATGAATATTTTCATTGAAATGGGTTAAAGCTTGTATGAGTGAAGCTGCATACGCCAGCTTCATATATTATGTATTTATATTTATGGAGAAATATTGTACTACTTTGTAATTTGTAATAATATCGTGTAATGAATAAATGTTTGATGGTAATAATTTTACTACTTGCTTCATTTTTGTTTACAGGAAAAAAAAAATTAATTAGAAAAGAAATCAAATTATAAACTATATGTACCTAAATATTAATTCATTTGAAAAAATATATTACCTTATATTAGTATTAAAAGTTAGTATTAATTTTAATAAAATGACTAATTATATGATTACCAAAACTTTAATTGAAGGCCTCGTTTATTAATACTGATCGATAGGATTTTTTTCTTAACAGTTCGATTGCCATTATTAAGTTCTATTGACTAAATTATTGGAGTTAGCTCAGTCGGTATTATATTTGTTTGTGAAGATTCAAACTAATTCAGGTCTGCAAATATTATTATTCAATAAAGTTAGTAGTAAATATACCATGCGATTAATTTTGTAGGATGTTATGTAAAAAAAATGACGATTTCATCTCAATGGAAATGCTTTTGGAAAATGGAATGTAGCACCAAATTTTAATAACTTTTTTGGCTTAGTTTCACTTTGAACCTTCTAAATATACTATTTTTGCATTTTGCACCCTCGAGAATAGCTTATGGCACTTAACACCCTTAAAACATGTTTAATTATTCATGTAACCTAGTCTATTTCCAGGACACAATTTTATGTCGTTTACTTATTTTATGGTTGTCAACATGGTCATTTTCGTCTATTTAATTAATTCTTTTCTACATGGTGCAAATTGCTAATGTATTTTCGAGTTATGCTGGACTATCAAAAATTAGTTCAACAACGAAAATTCTGGCCAAAAAATAAATTAAGGTGCAATTTGAACGATTACACATGTTTCAAGGGTGCAAAATGTCATAAATTATTTTCGGGGGTGCAAAGTGGAAAAATTGTACATTTTGAGGGTGCCAAGTAGAAAAATAGTACATTTTGAGGGTGCAAAGTGAAATTACGCCTTTTTTTTTTTTTTTTTTTTTAATATCGTACCTAATTGAGTAATAGAAGGAAACAAACATCTGCCCGCATGGGTGTAGCTCAACTGGTTCCGGAGGTGGTAAGTTGGAGCAAGGTCCTAGGATCGAATCCTGGCAGCCGCAGTGTGGGAATTTCAACTCCAATGAGATTGGTTCCTTGTGGGCACCAGGTCCGGGTCCGCTACCTTAACGGGCCGTTGAGTTACCATGATTTACATTCCTCCATCAATCCTTGTCGGGCCAAGGGATGGGGGCCCTGGGGGCGAGGGATTTCGCCTTTTGGAGCAAGGAAACAAACATCTAACTAATCGACTAATCACTCAGTCAACATAAAATTAATACAATACAATATAATCCATATTAATCCGATTTATGTAACTGAACGACACCTTAACTGCATAAACAATTGTAGATACTTATAAGCAAACATAAATTTAATTTATACTTTATAGCAAAAAAGAAATTTCAAAAAAATGATGTTTTAATGAAATAATAATTGATCATGTACTCCAAAATCTACATTGATTCAACATATCTAATTGGCAAAAAGGCCAAAAGTGAATACTTTTACACTTTATTCCATAAATAAATTGTGATTTATTTATAAAATAATGTATAATTTGTAGACCACATCATATGCATCTTTCTATCTTAGAAAAAACATTATTTTACCATTGGCAACATTGTCCAAATCGCACCACCACTTTTCGCTTTATAAAAGAACATTCGAATACATGAAAATTTTGAAATTCAAGAAAAGTACTTCAAAGCAAAAAGTGTTGCGTATTTTTTTTGATAATTGAAAAATAAAAAAGTGACAAAAAGTGATATACATAACAAGCAGAATTTGCATTTTTTGATCCAATTCTATCACTTTTCGTCATCCAAATGTCTTGTGTAGGGGCAATTTTCTTTTTAGCATATTGGTTATATTTTTAGAAGAAAAATAAAATGAAATGTGCATATTGTTTGCTTAAAAAGCCGATTTGCGAGGTCTCTTCGGAACACCTTATGGCCTAATTACCTCGTGTCCTTGTCGTCATACGATTTAAGGTGCTAACGACATTGTCTCATTGTCTGGGTTTCATGTGCTTTTTAATTGGACTTTAAGTTTTAGGCTGCCCTTCTTGGACTTTTATGGTGTAATTCACTTTAATTGCGCGGGCTAAGCCCATATGGGCGATACGGCCCATATCAATTAGTCAATTTGTGCACGAACATTTAGACATTACGAAACCCAAAATACAAGTAAAAAAAAGTGTAATTAATAGATTGTTTAGGCCCGAAAAATTGAAACGCCACCCATAAATCATTCGTTGTGGTTTTTAGAAATTACGAAGCCCAAAAGATAACAAAAGAAAAACCCAGCCGAAATCAACACAGTCCGTAGTGAAAATCATCATCCTTGGTAAAAAATCAGTGCTCGAAAACAAAAGGGGCGATGCGTATTGTGTGTATTTAACGGAAGAGAGTCGTACTCCGATCCTTTGTCAAAGATGAGAAAACTTATAAGGATGTACGGAAATGGAAATGGTGAAATCTTCTGGATGTATAATTTGAAGCTACTTTCATACTTTGAAAAGATTACATCTGATTCATGTTGACTATTCACATCAATCTTGATGCTTTCTGCGCAACAATATTTTTTTTCCTTTTTCATTTTTTGGTTTGGTGTGATCTGCATTACGAGAGGTAGCTTTCGACAGAGTAATGGTTTGACATTTCAGTACGTAGCTCTCGTAGCGTAGTTTACATGTTACGTATTTACGTAATTTGCCATGCCTACTCACTATTGCATTCATTCATTATTTGTTCGAGGCTCGGACGTTTTAACTCGAGCTCTGGATTGTGAAATGCACCTAAGAGATGCAAGCAACTGTAATTACACATCATTTTCTTAACTGTTGATAGCTCTGCATTAGTAATTACTAATTATAGATTTCTTGACCACATTTTCCTTTGTAAAACTATATTCTTGATCTTTATGATTTGATTTTATTATAATCTCTAAATATATAATCAGTTGGTTTTGACCGGATCTCTTTCAACCTAGATGAAGGGTAGAATTCATGAGGATTATCATTGAAGATAAACACTATACCAACACTACTAGAAAATCGGCCTTTAGCAACGGACATATCTGTCGCTAAATAACATTAATCCGTTGCTAATGGGTATTTAGCGACAGAAATGCTCCGTGGCCCCATCCGTAGATAAAAGCCGCGTCGCTAAATTTTAGTTACGACTGTGTTTCATCTGTCGCTAATGTAGCTACAGAATAATCCGTCACTAATGATAATAGTGTTGTTGCTAACTCTGGTCAACAAACTGAAGCCGTTTTGACTTTTAGCAATAGATTAGTAGTCGTCGCTAACTTCCGTTGCCTTACTAAATAGATATGTCGTTAGTTCCATTGCTAAATTCGTAGCTAATTGAAACCAAAATTCAATTGGAAAGGGATACATCCGTCACTCAATCCGTCGTAAAAATTATGTAAAATTTCAAAAAAAATATATTTTTTTAAAATGTAATTGATACCATTTTTAAATAAAATATTTATTATAGCATACACTAACAACAATATGATAGAATGCATTCTGACAATGGTGCCAAAGTTTGCTGCATAGTTTAAATAAAACAAATACATTCATATCCTATAAATTATTAACTAACTACACTCACATTAAGTCTTATCCTAAAATTCCATTGACGAGGGAAACCCACTCTATATCTACAGTAAATCCTTGAAAGTGACTTTGATGTATTGCTTGAATGATAACCTGAAAAAATAAAAAATACAAAATGCAGTTAGCAATGACCATAATTTAAGATATGAAGAATTACAGAGACTTCATCTATATTCTAATAAAAAAATCAAACATATATATTGTACAACGACACGTATGACTAAATATGTAAAATATTAACTTGACAGCAAAACCATAGAAAATAAGTAAGTACTTACTTGGCCATAAACCCATACAAAACCACTACATCGAATCATCAAATCTTGATCATTCTCATAAATCATGTTACTTTCAAACTAAACTGTGTATCTGCAATAGAAAAGCAAAGAAACTCAACGATGTGCCATATATGTTTGCAAAAAACTAGCATATAGCACACTGCAGATGAAACTTAAAAGACCACAAGTATTTTAACCATGGTTAAAACTGAACTCCGACAAACAATTAAGTGAGTATAAAGTGAACTCCGACAAACAATTAAACTTCAGAAAAAAATTAAGTGAAGATAAAGCAATTCAATGCACATAAACTTCTGCTTGCTGAAAACATTTAACCTGATTGTTGACGACATCAACAATTTGTTTCTTCATTTCTGCTGACAATTTCAAAACACAACTTGTCTTTACAGCTCCAGAGATACACTCATTAACTGGTGCAATGGAGAATAAAACAATAAAACAAAAACCAAAAACAACAGAATATGCAAAGCCTTGAAAAAAGAGATGAATTAGGAAAATAACCAAGCCACATTAAACAATTAATAAGAAAAATCAGCAAGATATTTTGTGATGGAAAAAAGAAAAGATATTTAGCCGATTCATAGATAAAATGTTTGTGTCTATGTTTATCACAGGATTGACAATGAGATGAATCAATTCTTATATTTTTTATATCCTACAAATACTTGTTAGTTTAATTTTTATATGTATATAATAATTTATACTGCTACATCAAATTTAAACATGCATAAATAGACATAGAAATCAAATAGAGATCTTGGACTGAGTATTAGATGATAATCCTAATGATATTCACCAATCTTTACCATTCTGATGCAAGATATAACTACTAGTGCAGACATTCTGATCCAATACATAAAAAGAAATGCCAAAAAATTCAATCACATGCTTCTCAATCAAGAAACACTAACCATAAAACATACTTCTACAATAAAAGATGCGTCCAATAAATAGTTTTTACCAGACACGAGTTACAAGCACAAAACTTTTGCTCCGATTAAGCGTCTCAGCTGCAACAATTGCCTATATAAACAAATGGTAGACAAAAGAATTGGAAAATCCTGTTAAGTACTTATTAATGAAATGTTTTATTAATAAGTAAAAATTAGAAAATTCAAAAGTTAAAATAACAATTCTAACAATGATATACCAATGCAGTAAGAAACTTGAGATAATCAATATCAAAGTGCAGAATATTTGGAAATCAAATTTATAATCGCCAAACAACTGCAGCAACATAGATTATTGAAGAAAAAAAGTACAAAATTCTTGGGAGTCAACTTTAAAATCGAATTCTTACAATTCTAGCAAATAACTACAAACACTGAAACATACCCGAAATCCTAAAAAAAAAACTGCAGCACTTAGATCTGAGAGAGGAAAAAAAACATTGCGACAGATGGTAAGTCTTCAATTAAAACACGCCGAGAAAGAAGAAAATCCCACAATTTAAGTATATATTAAAATCATGAGATAAAATTTACAAAGTGAACAGTGTATTTAGAAGTACCTTCGACCTAATGTTTACTCCTAGAACAGACCCAATTCCACTGAAGGGCGGTTTGCAAAACGATTCACGTGTATCAAAAGATTAGAGACAAAACAATTGGTTGCGTTTGGCAAAAAAGCAACACCTGTAAAATCAAGGGAAGGAGACGAGAAAAAGTGTAAAGTTTTTTTGAAATTTAGGGTAGGAGAAGAGGCGCGGGTATGCAGAGGTGAAGAGAGAAAAAATTTTAGTGAAGAAGAGAGAAACTTGTTTACTAATTAGGGCTCTTATAAGATTTAGAAAATAATAATTATTAGTAACATACTTTATCTTCTGTTGCTAATTCCGTTGATAAAAAAATAATTTAGAGATGGATTTTTGATTCGTTACTATTTTCCGTCGTTGTATGTATAATTTTTTGAAGATGGAAACGAATTTATCTTATGTCGCTAATTCTGTGGATAAAAAAAATAATTTAGAGACGGCTTTTTTATTCGTCACTAGTAGCCGTCGCTATATGAATAGTTTTTTAACGCGGAGATGAATTTCTCCTCCATCGCTAATTCTGTTGCGAAATAGCCGTTTTAGAAACATACATAGATCTGATGCTAAAATCCGTCGCTAAATTGCGTTTTTCTAGTAGTGCAAACACTTAAATAATCCATCAGTCAAATTAAATATTAGTTTTTTAACAACTTTTTAATCCAAAAATAATAGGGTCAAATTACGAAAAAACCCTTATTGTTTTGGCAATTACAACTTCCCCTCAATTATGAATCTTCTTACGCGTCCACCTTTATGGTGTCACATTCAACATAATCTTATAGATTCCGTGGAATAGTTTGTACTCGTTTTGTGCAAAAACACAGTTTCTGATGCACTGCAATCTGATAATTACAAGCCAAGAGACACATCTTACGATCATCTTATTTCAAATGTGGAGCTTGAATGGAATAAAACGAGTACAAAGAGGAGATTACTATTCCATATAATGTAGATAATTCCACTAAATTTGACACCGCAATGGTGGACGTGTAAGAAGATTCATAGTTGATGAAATGTTTGTAATTACCCAAACATGAGAGACTTTTTCGTAATTTGACCTACCTCGTGGGGTGACCGTAATTTGGTTAAAATATTATTTATCATAAATGTATGGCATTTTGTGGATGCTACTTTAATGGGATATATATACTTTTTAAGTAGTAAGTACTATCACTATATTTATAAGACACTAGGTACTAGATGCTAAATACTAATTTATTAATAAAAAAATACATAATTTTCTTCAATCATTACAACTAACACTAGATTTTGTGGCTTATATACATGCACATCCTATTAAAATTGAGTTTATAATTTTTTTTATAAAAAAAATTTATAAAAACGTCATGGTAGAAAAGTACAACCCCAGTAAATCGCACAGCGTGCATCAAAGTATTGTACGTTGGTGGAAAGAGAAATCAAAATCAAAGAAGCAAGCAATCATAGGAATCATCGCCATGAAAAAAAGGTTTTAAAGCCAGCAAAAAACCACAAACCCCTTTCTTTTCCGATTTTGTCCTTTGCTTCTAGCCTTAAATTAGTGCCCTTCGTCACTCTCTCCACACCCTTCACTCTACCTCATCTCTCTCTCCTCCTTGTTTTTTCCCTTTCTGCCATTGTTCAATCAATCAAAGCAGGTGAAATTAATTGAGGAATTCTTCCATTTTGTTGTTGTTGAGAAATACAGAGAGAAAAAATGGCGCTTAGGCTTAGCATTACTCCCCACAAGGTATCTTCGTTCCCGGGTTATCAGCTCAGATCTCACCGAGTTTCCATGTCTTCCACTCTTCATTCCCCATCCAAGTATGTTTTCCTTCAAATTCATCTTCTGTTTTTTATTTTTTTGTAAATTGATATGATTAATTGTTTATTGGATATGAAAGATCAAATCTCGGCGGCTTCATTTTTTGACATGCCCGAGATTTGATTTTATTGATCTGGGATTGTGGTACTTTTTGCTGAACAAGTTGTACGGTGGTGATTGTTGTTTCTGTAATTCGTTGAGAGGGTTACTTATTTTGTGAAATTACAATGTTTCAAACAAATGTATGATTCCAAATTGATTGAATTGATGCATGCAAAGCCTTTTTCGTTTAGCTGATTTCTTTTGTTCTTGATTTATAACATTTTTATTTATACACCGCCCATATGTTTTGTTTTCTTTGTAATTTTATTTACTTGTTGGAGGTGGGATAATGGTCCGCTCAGTTCGAAAGGACGCAATCGGTGATTTTTTTTTTTTCTTTTTCTTTTTTTTTCTTTTT